CGGCGCGGGCACTGCCGGAGGCGCCGCCTTGCCCTCGCAGGCGGCAGACTGCCCGTGGGGAAGGTGCCGGTGGGGTTTGCTCTGCCCAAGGCCGCCCCAGGCAGGGGGGCCACAGCCGCCTCCCCCCGTGCGCTCCACAGACGGCACAGGAGCTGCCTGTGTGTGACTGTCCCTTCAGGGAGGACCTGTGGGTGCGAGAGGGGAAGATCCTCAACCCAGAGAAACTCTTTTTTGATGAGAAGGGCTCTGCTGACATCCAGCTGGACTGCAAGGACAGCATCATCGCCCCGGGCTTCATCGACGTCCAGATCAACGGTAGGGTGCAGTGGTGTGCACGCAGGGGCCGGGGGGTCCCAGGTGTGTCCGTCCTGGACCCTCAGACCCTGCTGTGTGCAGACTGGCTGGGACCCAGCGCGTTCCAGCGGCTCAGGGGACTCGTGAGTCACTGAACTAAGGATAAAGAACAGTTTTGCCCCTAGCTGCTGCTGCTGTCACATAATGGATCGCGTTTGACTCCAGTGGGGTTTTCAGCTCAGCTTAGCTCTTTATTTTTATCAGCATTTTATCCTGCCCCTGCACTGGCAGGATGCCCGCCCTACCCTTTCCAGGATGCGGGGAGAACAGGGCAAGACTTCTCATGGGAACAAACCTGCAATAGCTCCTTCCTGTAGGGCAGGAGGGACTCATTCTGTGGTAGCTTATGCTGGAAGTCAGATCCTGTCTTCAGTGGGGAATCCTCAGGTTTTGCCCTGCATCAAAATAAAAGGTTGGTGCTCGCAAAACTCTGGGATGCTGTGGGGAAAGCACTTCAGGAGGACAGCACTGGCTGGATTTGTACTTGTGGAGCCTCACGAGTGTAGGACAGGAGAAGTGCCTGTGGAGCTGTTTGCTTCTGGGCAGTGCCATGCAAAAGGAGCGACTCACTCCAGTCATGCAGAACGTTTCTTCGGTGTTTTGGGGTGGGAGAACATCCATTGGAAAAGCTGCAGTTCAGTCTCTTTGTTCGTGGTGCAGGAGGCTTTGGGGTGGACTTCTCCCTGGCTACAGATGACTTCAAATCAGGGATTGACCTGGTCAGTCAGAAGATCCTCTCCCATGGAGTGACCTCCTTCTGTCCCACCTTGGTGACCTCTCCTCCATCCGTGTACCACCAGGTAAGTGACTTTCTCCCTCTCTCCTCTGCAGGGTGATAAAGGACTGAGGTTGGTACCAAGAGGGGAGGGGGCCAAGGCTGCAGAGCCTGGGATAGCTGGAAAAGCCACAGGCACAAGGAACTGGACTCTACTCCTGGATTTCTTGCTCTTAACCTTTAGACTGCTGAGACAGTGATGTTTCCTGGGCCAGCTTTGCACAACAGGGCTTGCAGGTGGCTTTTGCTTTGTGAGCTGTGTTTGGCTCTTAGTCCCAAGTGGTCCAGCTACAAAGTTCTCTCCAGACTCGAGGTTTGGGTTTGTTCTGGCCGGCTGGGGTGCTGTGTCTCACAAACTCCTTTCTCTAGATTCTCCCTCAGATCAGTATAAGAAATGGTGGAGCCCACGGAGCAGGAATCCTGGGTAAGTGTCTTTGTCCCTTGCTGTCCTCTCTGGGCTACTCTAGGTAGGCAGCTGCCTTCTGTGTTGTTAAGGAGAAGGAACTGCTGTAGGGACAGCACAAGCAGGGGCTGGAACTCTCTCAGTGGGAGGGATGCAGAGCCACGGAGCTGGTTTCTCCCTCAGCCTGTGCCTGGCCTTCGCCGTGGTCTCTGCCATCGTCCAGGTGCCACTCCAGCCCTTTTGGGTGGCGATGGGGGGGCCTGGCCTGGCCTGGCACCAGCACTGCAACTGGCACCGTGCTGAGCTCAGCATTACCCGAGCCACGTGCTTTGCTGCAGGGGAATGGCAAGAGCTTGACTGGAGTGAGGTAGACACAGCGGGTTTCTTGGCCCTTGGCCAGGAGAGGAAGGGTCACAGCTTTGTGTTCCTCTTTGGGCAGGGGCCCATCTGGAAGGACCGTTCATCAGCAGGGAGAAGAAAGGGGCGCACCCAGAGCACTGCCTCCGCACCTTTGAGGCAGGCGCCTTCCAGGACCTGCTGGCCACCTACGGGTCCTTGGACGGCGTCCGGATAGTCACCCTTGCCCCAGAGATGAGGAGGAGCAGCGAGGTGATCCGGGAGCTCACCAAGCAGGGCATCTGCGTCTCGCTCGGTGAGCGCTGGGGCGGGGCAGGCGCGGGAGGCTCCTGGTGCCACCCGGGCCGGGCAGCCCCTCTCTTGGAGCTGCAGCATCTCCAGTGGTGGCTCAGAGCAACTGGACGGGGCAGGATTTTCTTTTGCCTGGCCTGTATGGAGGTGTCGGAAGTGGGGACCTTGCCTGAGGCTGCAGGGCTGTCACCCTTTGTGCGGTGAGGGCCAGACTCCCTGCTGACCGGGAGCCGCTCAGCACGAGGCAGCGTTTGGTGCTGTTCAAGCACAGGAAAGAACAGCAGCCTTACTTTAACAAAGGTGTAACGGAGGTTGATGACGCAGAAAGGTTCAAACTCTGAAGTTCAACTGCTTTAGGCCTTCTTTGAAAGGTGAAATCATTTTCCAAAGGTTACTGTTGAGTTTTGATAACTTCTTCAACCAGAAGCACCATACAAGACCTCTGCCTCCAGTCTCTTACTGGCAGCTGACTTAGAGCTGGCTGAATTTTTCTTGTCCTCTGTTTCACAAACTCTTCATTGCCTCAGAACATTGAAGAAATCCTTTTTTTAAGAAAAAAAAGGGCAAGAGGAGAGGGGTTATTCAAGGTGAAATTACACCCTAAGTGGGAAGGGCATTCTGCAGCAGAGCGTCTGTTGTCTCACAGACACGTAAAGCAAGGAACTACAGAAAGGCAAAGTTGGCCCACAGAGCACTAGAGCTGCTGACCATGTTGGGGAAAACAGGTTTATTTATGTTTTAATGGATAGTTTTATCCCATATTCTTTTTTGGCAGTCCCCACTGTCAGTAGTTCCTTGACACCTCTCTATAAAGCCTTTAAATACCTGAGGACAGCAGAAAGGCATGTCCTTGGACCTCTAACCCAGCCTGAGCTCCAAGGATGATTAAGGGACTTGAACATCTCTTCTATGAAGAAAGACTTTGAGAACTGGGACTATTTAGTCTTGAGAAGAGAAGGCTGAGAGGGGATCTTATTAATGTCTATAAATATCTGAGGAGTGGGTGTCAAGAGGAAGGGGACAGGCTCTTTTTGGTGGTGCCCAGTAATAGGACAAGGAATAATGGGTATAAACTAGAACACAGGAAGTTCCATCTCAGTGTGGGGAAAAGCTTCTTCAATGTGCGGGTGACGGAGCACTGGAACAAGCTGCCCAGAGGGGTTGTGGAGTCTCCTTCTCTGGAGACTTTCAAAACCTGTCTGGATGGGTTCCTGTGGGGCCTGCCCTGGGTGATCCTGCTTGGGCAGTGGGATTGGACTAGATAATCTCTAGAGGTCCCTTCCAACCCCTAACATGCTGTGATTCTATGAAGGCACCTCTGCAAGTGAGGCAGCATTTGTGGCAGCGGTGATGGGACCAGTGTTCAGTTGTGAGGGGACCACTGCCAGAGTTCCCCTGGTCACGGCCAGACACCTCTGTGCTCGGGCTCCGGTGTCACAGACCTCAGCCCAGCCTGGGGCATCGGAGCCGAGTCCTGGTGACGGAGCCTTCGCTGCTGTAGAGGAATGACTGGGGAGAGGGGCAGAGGAGTGACACGCTGGTCTTGGTCCCCAGGTCACTCGGTGGCTAACCTCTCCCAGGCTGAGGAGGCCGTGCAGCACGGCGCCACCTTCATCACTCACCTCTTCAACGCCATGCTGCCGGTGAGTAGCCAGGGGTGCTTGCCCTCAGCTGCTGTTCCTGTCCTTTCTTTCCTGCTCCCCACGGGCGCATGTTCTCCCCAGCTTGTTTCATACCAGGCTTTGCAGTGAGGTTCCAGCACTCAACCGCTGGCTTCACACTTCTACTGCCTGATATAAAAGAGAGGCAAGGCTGCAGCAGAGTCCTGAAATTCAAGGAAATGCCCAGATTTGTCTGGTAGAGGACAGAGCGCCCGGCTGCCCGGCCCTGTTTGATATAGGGATGGCAGCCACCTCCCCTGACGGGCAGGGTCTGGGCCCACGGGTCCTG